AGTCTTTCATGCCTCAAAGCTTGCACCTTTCGCTGAGACCTGTCTCTTATACACATCTAGATGTGTATAAGAGACAGGTGCGAGGGTGCTTTCAAGAGATTGAAACATGCACTCATGAATTGTGAGGTTCTCATGGTTCCCCATCTGCAGAAGCCATTCATAGTGACCACTGATGTAAGCCAATACGACATTGGCGCAGTGCTGGCGCAACAGGATGGGAAAAAGTTCAGATCGATTGAGTACATGAGCAAGAAGATGCCATCAAAGAAGTTGGCAAAGTCCACCTACGAGAGGGAACTCTATGCTCTGTATAAAGCACTTGTCCATTGGAGACACTTCCTTTTAGGAAGGTTCTTCTACTTGAGGACTGATCACCAGACCCTCAAATGGATCAAGACTAAACCGGCTCTTTCTGACGCACTCAAGCGGTGGATTGAGGTCATAGATCAATATGACTTCAAGCTTGAGTACCTGAAGGGAGAGTACAACAAGGTTGCAGACGCGTTATCACGTAGAGCAGACTACCTAGGTGCGCTAGTTTCTGACTTTGGCACATCGGACGAAGTAACTCAATCATTGGTGGAAGCCTATCAGGAAGACCCTGTCACGATGGACAGTATTCGCAAACTTCAGGCAAAAGACAAGGCCACAGAAAGTGAGTTTGTGATGGTGGACGGGTTACTCTATCTTGAGAAGGCGGGAATAAAAAGGTTAGTGGTTCCATCTAGTGAACAGTTGCGTAGTTTATTTCTAGGTGAATGTCATGACGCAACAGGGCACTTTGGCTACAAAAAGACGAGTGCTAACCTAGAACAACGATTCTGGTGGCCTGATATGTTCGATGATGCAAAGAAGTACGTAGAGATCTGTCAGGTCTGTCAACAGGACAAGCCGCGCACTCAAGCACCGCTTGGGTTGTTGAAGCCCTTACCTATCCCCGCTGGTCCAGGACTGAGTGTATCCATGGATTTCATGGACACCTTGGTGACCAGCAAGAGTGGCAAGAGGCACATATTCGTCATCATTGACCGATTCACCAAGTACACTAGACTAGTGGCCATGCCAGAGACAGCCAAGACTGACTATGTCATCAAGTTGTTCAAGGACAACTGGGTGCGGGACTTTGGTTTACCAAAGACCATCATTAGTGACAGAGATGTCCGCTTCACCAGTGAGCTGTGGAAGAAGACTGCGGAACAAATGGGCAGTCAACTTCAAATGACTTCAGGAAATCATCCTGAAGCCAACGGACAGGCCGAGCAAATGAACAGAGTTGTGCAGCACTTGCTGAGGCAATTACATCAAACCCAGCCAGGACGACTGGGATGAGCAATTGCCTCTCATCGACAGCCTGTACAACAATGTTGTACATAGCAGTACTGGCGTGAGTCCTAATCAACTACACTTAGGATGGAAGCCTAGATCAGCACTAGACTTCCTCCTACCCGAAAACCGAACTGCCGCAACTCGAGGCACACTTGAGTATGGTGTGCAATATGAGAAGTTGCTGCAAGAAGCTGTCGAGCACATGAAGAAAGCTCAGCAAGCAATGATTGCTTCTGAGAATCAACATCGTCGACAATCCTCATTTCAGGTGGGGGAACGTGTCTGGGTTAAGGCTAGCGAGCTAGGACAAGAATTCGGAATCTCTCGTAAACTAATGCCTCAGTATTTTGGTCCCTGGAATGTCCTAGATATAGTGGGCGATGAAATGGATGGTCCTACGTATGTCATTCGTGTCCCTGGACACCTACGCACTCACCCAGTCTTTCATGCCTCAAAGCTTGCACCTTTCGCTGNCGATGAAATGGATGGTCCTACGTATGTCATTCGTGTCCCTGGACACCTACGCACTCACCCAGTCTTTCATGCCTCAAAGCTTGCACCTTTCGCTGCGACTGATCAATTCTCTTCCAGGAGATCGATGCTGCCCCCAACCATGGATGGACAAGTCGACATCAACGACATTGTGGATCACAGGGATATGCCTGTTCCGAAGCCGCTGGGTCGAGGAAGACCTCCTAAACCCAAGAGGGAGTACCGCGTCAGATTCAGGCATCATACGGATCCAAAAGAAGATCGGTGGTTTACCCGGGAGGAACTGATGGAAACATCTCCTCAGGTGGTGGCAGATTATGAAAGAAAGCTAAAAGGGAAGGCACCTGCGAAGTAAGCATCTCAGCGGACTTTCGAAGCTAAGGGGGATGGAATGTGAGGATTGAGCCCTCAAGTAGGGGCCTTGCCATGATGTACATGTTCTGGGCTAAGGCCCCAGCAAGCCTCATGCCCGCCCTAAGTGAAGGCGGGCCAGGAAATCAACAACAGCCCTCTGTGCCAACATTTCACGAAGTGGGGTCCATACAGTTGCAGCACGCCAGTTGGTTGGAGTGCACCGAGTCTCGGATTTCAGCAAATGCTGAAAGCCCAGGGCCTCTGAGTTAGTTAGGCCCTGGGCACTCGAACGAGAGGCCGATAATGCATGCTGGGTATAGAGGCCGAAAATGCCAAAGGGAAATCGGCCCATTATCTGAATCTGGCCGCAGGCCTCGATGAGGGAGGCGCAACTGCATTGCCCCGGGGCCCAACTGTATCGGGCTGGTTTCAGCCTCTGGGGCCCAATCGCAGGCTGAAGGGAGGCCGCCCACACACAGCACTGGCATATAGGCAACCAGGGCGAGTGGGCAGGGATCTTGGCCATTGCGGGCAATGCCGGCACGCTGCGCTAATGCAAGTTGTTGCGCTGCGCTGAGAGAGAGTGCAAGGCTAGCATGCGCTAGGCGGTAGGGCGCTGCCTGTGCACTGGGCGCTTGGCGGCCATAGCCGGGCTGCAGAAGAGGGCGCAAAGGAGGTGAGGGCGAAGGTGGTTCTTCGGAGGTGAAGGGCGCTGTGTGGGTACAAGGGAGAGTGTGGGTGAAGAGGACACGTACCTGGTGGAGGTGGAGGTCRGCATTGGTGTTGACATCATCACTCGCTGGTAGTCAAGTTGTCTGGTTGCTTTCATTGCTGTAGTTGTAGGCTAGGCTGTAGAGTAGATAGGGCGCCTGGCGCCATTCACAAGAGAGAGCTACATTTGGGTTATGCTGTTGGTGTTGCCTTGTTGGGCATGGACATTGACTCACAATTCTTCTGTATCATTCTCAATTGGATGGTTACTCGGTTCCATGTGCTATCTGCTTTGGCTTTGACTACTTGGACTTCAGTGTGATTTTGCATTCTGGATTTCTGTGCTTCGTCCATATTCATGTTCCTTGCACTTTGAACAGGGCAACAACTAGACTCGTCATTGAGTTTGCTCCTGGGATTCTGCCTATCGACAAATGTTGTTCGTATTTTGAGATGCCATTGTTGAGGAGCTGCTATGAATAGGGCAACAACTACACTCGGCATTGAGTCTGCTGCTGGGATTGTGCCTATAGACAATTGTTGTTCGTATTTGTGCAGCAAATTGCCGCTGCAGGGTGCTGTTGTTGTCGCCAATAGCAAGATTGTTGTTGAGGCACCACTGGTTTTAGAAGCGGCAACTATGAGTCGCCACTGCTTACTACTCTAGAAAGTACCAGAATGGGTTGGAGAACACGCTTATTGCTGAGGTTTGCTACAACACATCTGACCCGCTGATTTCAAGCTTGTGATCGGCCACCATTGCAAGGCCCGCAGCGACAGGAAGACACCAAGGATTTCTCCATGCCAGTCTGAGTTGATCCCCCCCTACATCTTGAGAGACTGATACCCCTTCTTTCTACCCTGCTTACTCTCAATGTAGTTTAAAAGTTTGGGGGAGGAAAGTGGTAGGTGGGATTGCAACCCACAAGACATCATCAAGGCCTGTGGGGGTTTCATCCACAGATTGTGGGAGTTTTCCCGAACCCAGGCAGGGTCCTAGAGGCAGGAAACCTTCAATTAACTGAGGTATCACGCGCATGCTCCTGTATTCCCCAATTGGTACTACTTCCTATTCTGCATGTGAGTGTGATTGAATTATTTATTATTTATTTATTTTATTTCAGGATTTAATCCGAACCCTTAAGCAGCATTGGCCGCGGGGGAGGCCGACAGTTCGCTGCGCGCCGGATTCGGGGTCGAAGGTTCTTCAAGGGCCCGCGGATGAACGTGATCCTCGGCGGGGGAGTGCGCAGAGGGGCGCGCGTACCGAAATGTTCACAGCGCGCCATTAAACGTGAGAGCACGCCCCCGGGGCGGGGCACACAGCGGGCGTTGATGCGGATGAGCATCTAGAAGGAGAGCCCTCCGATATGCGAGTGCCTTTTTTTCTTTCTCTTCCCTTTCTTCCTTTTTTTTTCCTTTTCTTTTTTCTTTTTTTTTTTCTTTTCCATTCTTTTGGCCGGCCGGCGGTCGTTTTGTGCCGCGGTTTTGCGTTTCGCTTCTCTTTTTTTTTTTTTTTCCATTTTGGTTTGTTTTGTTCTGTTCTTTTTTCTTTTTGTTTTGTTGTCATTGT